ACATGACTGACGAGGCAGATTTTTTTCCCACAGTAGGTTGTTATTTTTTTGTGCGGTAGACCAGTTACCATCCAAGGCTATAAAACCCTGTCTGTCCTTCTATTTATCCATAGTCAGTCAGTTATGTGCCATGCGTGATAAACGCTTAGGCGATCATGTATCTTTCGATACATGACTGACGAGGCAGATTTTTCCTGCAGTAGGTTGCCATTTCTTTCTGCGGTAGACCAGTTGCCATCCAAGGCTATAAAACCCTGTCTGTCCTTCTATTTATCCCTAGTCAGTCAGTTATGTGCCATGCGCGATAAACGCTTAGGCGATCATGTATCTTTCGATACATGACTGACGAGGCAGATTTTTTCCCGCAGTAGGTTATCATTCCTTTCTGCGGTAGACCAGGTCTGCTCAGGGAGAAGAAGAGGATTCATACCTTTCCCAAGGGCATTACCACGATTGGAATTCGAACTCGGCTCTCCGATTACTCAATCCGAGCCGCTATCCATTACGCCACCATCCATTCGACCTACTTTGATTTATTTAATTATTTATTTATTTTATTTTTAATTATTCATTTTTTTCTATTTTGATGAATAACATATTTTTGTATTCGAATCGTCTAGCATGATTGGTAGGTTAGCTAATATTTGGTGCTAGATTACAGGTAATCAACCAAGGAACTCAGATTTAATTAAAGAATGATGATAACCTGAAAGTTCGCTTCACAGTGTACAAAATATTTACCGAGCTTAGCTTAAACTGGAATAAAGCCAGACATATGATTATCGAAGACGCTACGCCAAAGTTCATATCTATTTTTGGAGTAGATCCACAAGCATTAATGTGAGTACACATCGACGTGGTGTCATGGTTATCTCATTAGAAGAGCGGTCGGTAACCTTTTGCAGTATGTCGTACGAGGGCTACGATATCAAATGTACTATAATAAATTGTCTTGACCTCAGACAGCTTCGTTCAGGAGGCTGCCTTGATCTAGAACTTTAAAGAAAAAAAAAAACGAAGTTAATGTTATCTCTATCTATAAAAGGCAGGATGTGTGTATGAGTGTAACGAATGCATGGCCGCAATTTTCGATGGATTTGCACCAAAATTTACATGCACATGCTCCAAGTTAGAGGGAAGGTCAAGACCGAATTTCCATTTCCCAACTCCCATCGATAGTGGGAATAATCGAGTTTTTCATGCTTCTCTAGTTTCATGTAGTTTGCGGCCATTTTCTACTGGCCACAGTGGGAGCCTATAGCTGGCTGCCACAAATAGGCAGAAAGATTCTATTGGCCAACGTGAGAGCCAACAGCTGACTGACACGAATGTTAACTAGCATGTAAAAAAAGTCGATAGCTGCATTCGTCACAAGTGGGAAAAATTTAAATCTGCATCGCACTTTACTCCAATTGGCTCATTCGCTTGCTTAAACTCAACGTTGATTCTAATTCCGCAGAACTAGGTTGGGTGTGAAAAAGTATTTGTTGTTAACATTCTTTTTTTCATTCGATTTTTCCAGCTACGAGTCCTTTTTTTTAAAGCTGATCGTTTTGTGTTCATTTTGTTTAGTTCTTTTTTTCGTAACAGATTTAATGTTTAGTATAGAGCTTCGAAAAAATTCGCAGTGTGAGATAGGCAAGAAGTAAGGTATGTAGCAACATCAGCACGGCAAAGGGCACTTCTTTAAAGCCAAGGATGGGCAAAAATATGTTAAGTCAAGTGATAGCGATTGCTGTATGAGTCGTGCAATTTTTTAATCAAGCACGGCCAACACCGGGCCATGCTGCTAGTTATTATTTAAAATAGGTTCCTTATAATACTGCAGTAATAACAACTAAAAATCAATAAAAAACGCGAATTTCTTACTACAAACTAAATACAGTTCGAATTGGTAAATTTTATAATGAGGTACTTGTTTCTGTTCATTGTTCGATAAGTTCTCCACATCAGGTGAAATATTTCTTGGGGACATAATGCCAAAAATTGTTCTGGATATTCAAGTGCTGGAGTGTTTATGAATCGATAGTAATACGAAAAAAAAAAATATTTCTGATTGTAGACTGCATGTGCAAATTTGGAAAATTGGTGGTGCACAATTTTACTAAATCAGATCCGGCACTGTATTAATTTTATTAATTAGCTACGTGGAATTAAAAGAGTATTTTTCCAGTGGTAATCACACATACACACGCACGCATGCGCAATGTGTGTTTGTAATGACGCCTGGCCATACAGAATATCCAGCCAAGCGTCATTCTAACACTGCTCTCCTCGCTGGGACCCCATATCAGCGACCTGGTGCCAGCAGTGAGCAGAGTTCAGCAATCAGGATATCAGGGCCATTGCTGGTTTGGACCAGTTCGCTCCGACAAGTGTACGGAGTCCATGTTTGAATATTTAAGCACATGGCGACATCACCCCATGCAAAGAATGAAAGAGAAACATTCACCCACGCGGATTTAGCGCGGAATTTGCTTTGGGTCAAGGACGCCCAGTTATAAACTGCACTCGCTTCGGCCAGAATAATGTACCAATCTCCTCTTTCACTTCCAGTGACGACGACGACTGCTGCTTCTAAGGATAATAATAATAATAATAATAATAATAATAATAATAATAATAAACCTGGAAATAGAAATAGAAAAATTGGAAATTGAAAACAAGAATAATACCAGTGGTAATTTGCACTTGGAATTATAAAAATGGAACAAAACAACACATTGAAAGAATCGCTGAAACCCCAGCTTAGAGACATACAGAAAATTGTCTTATTTACAGCACACACACTAAGGAGAACTTTGTCTATGTAACGCTAGCAACTTCATCGGAGAAAAAAAAAAAAAAAAAAAAATTAACATGAAATGTGGCCATAACAACACACCACGACCTGCCTTAGGTCTTTCCGCAGACTTGGAGGTAGTGTGTCCATAGCAGAAATAATAATAATAATAATAATAATTAAATAATAATAATAATAATAATAATAGCCGTGGTTGAAGTTCTAATACGAAAAAGAAGTAGAAGGCAGTGTTTCTATATTTGTATCAAGCCGTTTGTTACTTGTCCCTTATTTTTCGTAAGAATTCTCGAATAATGAAGCTATTTTTGTTGACAGCTTTTAATTATTGCCTACATTCAGCAGCTGGTTCACCTGCGATGTCTCCTATGATTCAAATGTCTTTTAACTATTATTATTATTATTATTATTATTATTATTATTATTATTCTTATTCTTATTCTTATTCTTATTATTATTATTCTTCTTCTTTTTTTATTCTTCTTATTCTTCTTCTTCTTCTTTTTATTCTTATTCTTCTTGACGTAGACAATCATGGCTCTCCGCAACAATTAATTATTTACATTGTTCGGGCTTTTATCTTCATTTCATATTCACAACGTTTCGGCCGTTTTACGCTCCGCCATTCGTCAGGTAAATGGAATTTCGAACCAAACACTTTATTTCGTCGACCGGGGTAGATTGTTCTACTTCTACGTGCCATGCCTCTTTCGAATATCTCAGTTATTTTCCTTTTACTCAGCTCTCCAAACGTTGTCAATATGGCAATGAAAATGAGAATAACAGTTCGGATAATGTAACTAATGTAAATAATCATAATACCTCATCTCAGAGATATAGACAGATATAAAAAAAATTCTAATTTACATTTTATATTTTCTTTTCCTTTCTTGTTATTCTGTGGAAGAGTTGAATATTTTTTCTGGGTTAAATTTTTCACAAACTAATTCGCGTTCGCTTTAAGTTTTGCAAATTAGTGACCAAATTTCTCAGCATTCATTAGCAGATCGGAAATTAAACATTGCATATCAGGTGACTAGAATTTCGAACTGAACCCTTTATTTCGTCCACCGGGGTGGATTGTTCTAGTTCCACGTGCCATGGCGCTGCCAAGACACATGGCCCAGTGGCTAAAAGGATCGGTTGAATCCAGCGACTTGACCCAATTAGTTGTGAGTTCAATACTTGGCTACGGCAGTGGTTAACAAAAACTTGGAGAGTTGAGTTAAGGGGAGATAAATGAGACACCCGGAAGAGGCATGGCACGTGGAACTGGAAGATGGAGTTCCAGCTGACTTTTTCTAAATATAATCGTCTTTTTTGTCTCCATTTTCTTTTACAACCCCCGTTATTCTCACGTTCATTCCATGGTATGCTCACAATCCTTCTGTAGAACCACAATTCTGTCTCTTCTTCGTCAGTGAGAAGGTTGTCTAGTGCCATATGGGAGGACCGATATTGCATAAAAGTTCAGCAATCCTTGTTTCTAATGAAATCTTCGTTGCTTAATACTTTGCTTAGCTTTTGTTAGGCATCTTTCTGTAGTCTGAAGTTTCTTCTACGCCTGTGAGAAGGTTGTCTAGTATTCACAGCCATATGGGAGGACCGATATTGCATAAAAGCTCAGCACTCTTTTTCGTTGTTTCTAACGAAATCTTCCTGTTGATTAATACATTACTTAGCTTTTTTAAGGCACCTTTCTGTAGTCTGAAGTTTCTTCTACGTCTGTGAAAAGGTTGTCTAGTATTCACAGCCATATGGGAGGACCGATATTGCATAAAAGTTCAGCACTCTTTTTCCTTGTTTCTAAGGAAATCTTCCTGTTGATTAATACTTTGCTTAGCTTTTCGAAGACATCTTACGCTTTTGCAACACTTTATCGAATTTCGCTCATATTGCTGATAGATACATATGCCATCGTCTGACAAGTGATAGTCCTTTACGCTCGCTTTTCATTTCAGGTTAATGTAGCGAAAATTGAATGGTTATTTGGGTAATTCTCAATGTCTATGTATGTCAGTTTCCAGAAAGAGAAAGTGAGTGAGAAAGATATATATATATATATATATATATATATATATATATATATATATTTGCGATGTTGATAAATTCAACTTCTCTATATGTTCTTTTATTTTAGTAGCTTTGTTAAACTTAGCCAATATATGTTAACTGTGACCTTTGTCGTTTTTTTTTCTAGGTTAACGATTTCCTTTCCGGACGGGCACCCCTATTATTGGTCATGAAACTCGGTGATCACATGATGTTTGTACAGCTTCAGCTCTCCACGGCATCCTGTAGTCAGGGTACCCAAACAAACCGTTCCCAGTGCACAGTCGATGCCAAGGAGAAGGCCGCTCCAACCGGTCCAGTGTTTAATTCAGCAGCCCTCGCTGAACTCGGCCACAACCTCTCACAGAAACTAAGGGAATTTTCGCAGTTATCTACGCACCAAAAGGTAGGCGCCTTTTATCTTTTTACGCATTATAATTAGGGTTAGTGAGAATGATATATAAACTGTGCTCTAAATGCTAAGATAGTTGCCACCTATATATGACAGTAATCTAAACACTAAGACAGTTAATACTTCTATAAGAAGTAACTGTCTTAACGTTTAGATTACTATCATATATAGGTGGTAACTATTTATATGACAGTAATCTAAACGCTAAGACAGTTACTACATCTATAAGTAGTAACTGTCTTAGCGTTTAGATTACGTTCATATATAGGTGGTAACTATCTTAGCATTTAGAGCACAGTTTGGAATATACGTAGTAAAAATCATATCATTTAGATCATATTTTGGAATAGACGTGGTAACTATATTAGCATTTAGATCACAGTTTTGATTAAAGAGAAGTAAGCAGTGTATAAGTCTATAAATAATTATCTTCCACATATATATGAATGGGTTCTCCCGTCGAGAGCGACGGGTTATAGTTCAGTTAATTCTAAGTTTTTACTTAATAACCTGTATAAAGGATTTGCTTAAAAGAGGCGGATTTAAATAATTCCCTGAGCTCTGTAATACATATTCTTTCCACCATAGCAGCATGTCCTGTACTGCTGCATTGTGTACCACATGTCAGTTGATGCTACCATTGAAGGCTATTTCGAACAAGAGTTTTTCTATCTCCTAACTCCACGTAGCATGTTGACTCCCATGAGTAGTTGATCCGCTGGTTTAACTTCAAAGTTATATGTATATACAGGGTGTCTCAAAATATTGTATACACTCTTTAAATATTAATAGCTGTAGTGTAAGAACGTATATGGATGAAAATATACATAACAGATGGATTGGAAGAAGAGGGACAGTTTAATACCCACCTAGATCACCAGATTTGACACCCTGGGATTTCTTTTTGTAGGGGGTTTCTAAAAGACAAAGTTTACAGCAGGAAACCTGAAACAATTGCTGAAATGAGAGTAGCAACTGAAGAAGAATGTGCTCAAATACCAGAGGAAATAAAACTGGACGTTTGTAGGTCTATTTCTTCAAGATATGAAAAGTGTATTGAACAGAACGGCAACCAGTTTGAGCACTTCATATGAACTCATCATTATATGAACATTCTGCCATTGCCCCAAGTAACTTTTATCTTATTAAAGTTAATTTTCTATGCTTTTAGTATATTTTACTCTCAAATTATTTAGATGTGTATTCTTTCTCTTGTATTAATCTTATAGTCAAAATACATAAATTGAATAAGTTATAACGATTCAAAGAGTGTATACATTATTTTGAGACACCCTATATATATATTGACATTTTTGATAATGTCTTAAGTAAGCCGAAAGCTTAGATTGTATGAAAAAAAAATATGAATCAATATTGTTAATTTCTTTCTTCGTTCAACGATAATGTTATTAAACTTATCAGACGTTACGAAAAAAATTTACATAAAATAAATAGACAACACTTGTCTATATTATTTAATGAAACGTATATATATATATATATATATATATATATATATATATATATATATGTGTGTGTGTGTGTGTGTGTATATATATATATATATATATATATATATATATATTTGAGTGGTGTTTAGCGGTCTTTGACTGCGCACGCGCCTTCTGTCGAACTCTCTGCGTTAGCAGAGAGGAACCCGGACGAGGCTTTGCCGAAGGGCATGGTTTCGTCCGGGGAGGTAGACAGGGCCTGAACCCGTCTAGGCGAGTTCAAAGGCTATATTTTTTTGGCCGAGCCTACGGGCTCGGGGTACCCACATTAAAACCGGCCTTGTGCCATATTCGGTCCTCGTGGGTGGAACGATAAATACTGTGTGTATATATATATAAGACAATAGGAATTAAGATTACATTAGGTTGATGATCATTTTCACCTTGTAAATTGGAATAAAATTTACAAGGATTTACAAACCAGTGAATACGTGATAAATTATTTCAATAAGTTTTCCTTTTCTTAAATGAGTTACCCTCAATTGACGGAGAACTGAGGCCAACCTCTGTTAAGCTCAAACAAAATCGATTACAGTTTGCCGGCCACTGCCACCGAACGAACAGGGAAATCCTCTCATCCTTGCTCCTATGGCATCCCTCTGGAAGTGTCTTCTCACGAAAATTGACTTTCTCAGACACCATAGCTCGGGACACGGGTTGGACATTGGGGATATGGTGACTGTAATAAAACCCGAACAGTATGAAAAGGGATTGTCAATGGCGTTCTGACCAATAATATGGAAGTCGACGATGATGATGAAATCATAAATTATTTACTAGCAGAGCTTATAAAAGACTATAAGAGGTTAATAGTTAACCTCTTATAACGAATAAACACACCCAGAAAAACAAGAGGCAAATGATTCTAACGTGATATTTGACTAGATTTGACAGCTTCGATATAATGTTACACGAAAAGATGATTTATTAAAGGCACAGTTACTCCGACACGTAAACATTAATACTGCTAGATCGTCAGATAGAAATTTCACAGTATAAGGTCCATGAGTCACCCAAGGTAGTGGATTACTGTGTGGAGTTATATTAACGGAGGCAAAGAACAGCGTTAGGAGTATAGAGCTAAATTAGACTAATGTGGGGCCCTAGAAAATTCGTGGCCGAGAGAACTTGCTACTTTTGGTAGTCGGTTAATCGTAGTTTCTGTCTTTCTTTCGAGCACGCCATTTTTCCTCCTGCTCTTCCTTACATTCTCCAGTACCCCCATATGTAGGTTTCTCGGTCGTAAAGCGAGATTAATTTTCTTTTTTTTCCTCTCCTTCTCACCTTCGCTTTTCCCAACATCTCCCCATATGTAGGTTTCTCGGTCGCAAAGCAGAGATTCTTTTTCTTTTCACCTTTTTTTCTCTTTTCACAAAGGAGATTAATTTTCTTTCATTTTGCTTTTCCCAACATCTGCCCATATGTAGGTTTCTCGGTCGTAAAGGGAGATTAATTTTCTTTTTTTTTCTCTCCTTCTCACCTTTGCTTTTCCCAACATCTCCCCATATGTAGGTTTCTCGGTCGTAAAGCGAGAGATTAATTTTCTTTTTTTTCATTCTTCTCACCTTTTGCTTTTCCCAACATCTCCCATATGTAGGTTTCTCGGTCGTAAAAGCGAGATTAATTTTTTTTTTTTTCTCTCCTTCTCACCTTGCTTTTTCCCAACATCTCCCCATATGTAGGTTTCTCGGTCGTAAAGCGAGATTTATTAATTTTTTTTTTTCTCCTTCTCACCTTTGCTTTTCCCAACATCTCCCCATATGTAGGTTTCTCGGTCGTAAAGCGAGATTAATTTTCTTTTTTTTTCTCTCCTTCTCACCTTTGCTTTTCCCAACATCTCCCCATATGTAGGTTTCTCGGTCGTAAAGCGAGATTAATTTTCTTTTTTTTTCTCTCCTTCTCACCTTTGCTTTTCCCAACATCTCCCCATATGTAGGTTTCTCGGTCGTAAAGCGAGATTAATTTTCTTTTTTTTTCTCTCTTTCACACCTTTGCTTTTCCCAACATCTCCCCATATGTAGGTTTCTCGGTCGTAAAGCGAGATTAATTTTCTTTTTTTTCTCCTTCTCACCTTTGCTTTTTTTTCCCCAACATCTCCCCATATGTAGGTTTCTCGGTCGTAAAGCGAGATTAATTTTTTTTTTTTTTCTCCTTCTCACCTTTGCTTTTCCCAACATCTCCCCATATGTAGGTTTCTCGGTCGTAAAGCGAGATTAATTTTCTTTTTTTTTCTCTCCTTCTCACCTTTGCTTTCCCCAACATCTCCCCATATGTAGGTTTCTCGGTCGCAAAGCGAGATTAATTTTCTTTTCATTTTTCTCTTTCACACCTTTGCTTTTCCCAACATCTCCCCATATGTAGGTTTCTCGGTCGTAAAGAAGCGAGATTAATTTTTTTTTTTTTTCTTTCTCTTTTCTCACCATATTTGCTTTTCCCCAACATCTCCCATATGTAGGTTTCTCGGTCGCAAAGTTTCGAGATTAATTTTCTTTTCATTTTTCTCTTTCACACCTTTGCTTTTCCCAACATCTCCCCATATGTAGGTTTCTCGGTCGTAAAGAGAGATTAATTTTCTTTTTTTTTTCTCTCCTTCTCATCTTTGCTTTTCCCAACATCTGCCCATATGTAGGTTTCTCGGTCGTAAAGCGGGATTAATTTTCTTTTTTTTTTTTTTCTTCTCACCTTTGCTTTTCCCAACATCTCCCCATATTTAGGTTTCTCGGTCGTAAAGTATGCCTATTTTTTTTCCATTTTTACGGGACAATTTTGCTACAAATATGGATATGACCCTTATACAATATCAAGCAATCCCTCCGAAGAATTGCGGATTTCTTGTTGCTATACTTTGGTCGTAGCATGGCTGGGGGGGGGAACAGTATAATAAATTTGGTTGTTAGTTAATAACAGGCTGCAAAAAAGCAAAAAAAAAAAAATCAGCAACTGGAGAGATGGCCTTGGGCAACACCTCTTGTCAGCTGCCAGTCAGTTTTAGTCTCCAAACTCGCTCGACGGCTCAAACCCAACTTCGTCATTGCAAAATGACTCACTGTGTGGGACGCGTGATCGTAAAGTGCACCCAGTGACCTCGACCGAGTGAGCTTGAGACAAAAAGAAAGAAAGAAAGAAAGAAAGAAAGAAAGAAAGAAAGAAGAAGGGAAAAAAATAACTACAGAAATTAATTACATCGACGAAAATATTTTTCTTTCATTCTTTTTTTTTTTTTTTTTTTTTTTTGCACTACACTAAATAAAACATCCACAAAAAAATCCATCATATTACAAATACAGGCTGAAATTATCATAGCGGGGTGCTGAAAAATTCTCATTCTAACTAAGAAAAGAAGCTAAAATAAGTTCTGAGTTTTAAGTTCTTTGGGTAAATTTTGGCAGGGGGGGGGTGGTGCCAAGTACTTTTCAGCACCTCCTCTCTATGTATTCAGCTCCTCTCCAGTTATTGTGGTTTAAGCACTTTTACTTCACTATTATCGGTAAAGAAAAAAAGGATACATCCATATTTGTAACGAAATGGGCCCCTTAAAAAAGTATTGTTTAAATTGCTAGCTATGCTGCTAGGAAAGTTGGTTCACTGTGTGGCGCTCGACAATCTTCCTAGTAAGAATCCATTTGGCCCTGTATTGTTAAGCGAGCTACTAGGCTGGCATCTCCGTCCCACCCTTTCACTGTCGAAACGGTTAAATGTAACCGTCTCTTCTACTCCAACAGCTTCTTCTCTGGCCCTTTCTGTCTGTGAAACTCCCTTCCTCTTACTTGCTTCCCTGATAACTATAATCTCCAAATATTCAAGTGTAATGTCAATCGACAACTTCTGATATCTTGATCTTGTTCCCCCTCCTTCTTTGTATCCTTTCCTTAAACACGCCTCTTTACTCTTGTTCTCAATTCTCTGTAACCCCTTGGGTGCTAGTGGTCCTCCCGCCTTGATTGGGGTGAATGCTTATATATATATATATATATATATATATATATATATATATATATATATATATATATGTGTGTGTGTGTGTGTATGCAAATATATGGATATAAATCCGACAGTATGAAGAAAAACAAACAAAATTCCTAATATGCGATTATGCTGTTTTAATGTTTAATGTCAACGTCGGACGTTTCAGTCTAATAGACCATCTTCAGGACATATGTCCATATATATATATATATATATATTTAAATATGTCCATATATATATATATATATATATATATATATATATATATATATATATGTGTGTGTGTGTGTAAGCAAATATATGGATATAGATCCGACAGTATGAAGAAAAATATACGGAAAAACAAACAAAAATCCTAATATGCGATTATGCTGTTTTCATGTTTAATGTCAACGTCGGACGTTTCGGTCTAATAGACCATCTTCAGGACATATTCATAAAACACAATTAACATAGACCATATACAATTCAGCATGAAAAAGACGATGGACATAAAAGCAATACCAATCCAAACAGATAACTGAATGTTGAATTGTATATGGCCTATGTTAATTATGTTTTATGAATATGTCCTGAAGATGGTCTATTAGACCGAAACGTCCGACGTTGACATTAAACATTAAAACAGCATAATCGCATATTAGGATTTTTGTTTTTTTTTCAGTATATTTTTCTTCATATATATATATATATATATATATATATATATATATATATATGATATATATATATATATATATATATATATATATATATGATGTAGGGCTTCTGCTATATATCCCGAGATTCTTGACAAAATCCAAAAATGGGTCTGAAATGTTATCGGTCCTGACCTGACAACTCCGTTTCAGTCAATTTTTCACCGCCGATTTTTCTGTAAATATTTTTCCTTTCTCTTTTCTGTAAGTATTTTTTTTTTTATGACAGTTGTTCTAAAGAGCTCTGCTCCTTCAACATTCGCCTAAATGTCTTAAATTCATTGCACCTATTTACAGGTGTCTGAGCATTGTCCTACTGGTAACCCCAACGCGAGCGCCGCTGGCCCGGCGAATAGCACACCAGCTTATTCCGTCTCAAAAACCGCCACTGCTAACGGCTCCGTCACACACACGCAACCATCAATTCCTGCAAACAGCAACAACAACAACAACAACAACAACAACAGTAACTGTAACAACAACAACAACAACAACAACAATCATTGCCATAGCCCCAATAACACGAGTATGACTTCCGGTAGTTCCTGCAATCCCAGTATTCCTTGCAACACAACTTCTGCTCCAACTCCTGCTTCTCGAACCTGCCCTACCACTGGAGAACCCATCCCAGGAGCCATCATTGAAAGTATGCATCACGTTGGCCAAGGTGTATATTCAGGAACATTTTCTGGTGAGTATTTTCATGTTTAACGGACTTCCTATTCGTAGCCGGCCGCAGTGTCGGGCGCGACGGGCTATCTGACGACGGCAGATTGTCCTTGTTTGCAATTCTTGGCGAAAAAAGTACATGAAATTCCGGATTCGAAAGTGAACTTATGTCCTTAGACGTGTCGGTCTAACTTACGACAGCAGCAAGCCATTGTTTGCGACTCGGCATTTTTTTTTTTTTTTTGCTCTGATACTCGAGCCATTGCATTTGAACCGCGCCAAAATGACGAACGCTTTCCATTTCGACTTAGTTAAAATTGTCAAAAAACAAAAAAATTGCAAAAGCGATACGTTAGTTACACTGTTATAGCGTGTAATGTGCAGGCAGGCAAGCGAGTCGACTTAAAAAAAATCAATACCAATAACAATTAATTCACTTTCGCTTAAGAACATGTCAACAATTTACGTCACTTAGTGTCCTCCATAGTTTTCTTTTCCGTAACGTCAAGAGATTTTCGTATATTTTCAAGTGTTTGTTAATTCAAATTTGAACGCATATAGTCGTTTTTTTTCTTAACGTTAGTTTTTCTGTACAAAACGATATAAAATTGTACAATGACCTCCCCACCAACGAGATTTTCTATTTTTTAGGAACTTTGGACCCATCTTTGCAAGACATGGATGGCAAACCGAAACGAAATATCGGCACCATTATTCACATTTTGAATGATCTTCTAGGCGCCACTCCACAGTACAGGGCACAGAATGTACCTCACACGCCGGAAAAGCCACTGGTGGACAGCTGCAGCCATAAGAATGGTGAGTATTTCGAGTATAGTAGCTGTTCTTTCTGGTCTGTCCGAGTTAAGATGGTCTATTAGTGTTCGAGAGTTCCATGCTCGAAATGTCAAGATCTTAGTTCTTGAGGTTTTTCGACCGCATGATGGTGAACCCTCTGGACGTAGTTTTCTTGACGGCTGTAGGTGAAACATTCTTTTAGGGCTCGAAATAGCTTTTCCAAAATCGTGACAGTCGCCAAAATGTTAGTGTATGAGGCCGTATTGATTCCCACTCTCTTGTATACCTCTGAGATCTGGTCAACTTATTGACGACATCTGAAATTCCTTGAAGAATTTCAACAGCGCTGTTTTCGAAGTATCCTGAACATCATTTGGGAAGACAGAAAAATGGACAACTGGTGCGAATGGACGGCAACCCCTTATCAAATCAGATCTTTTACTGGTACCTTGTAATGGAATGTTCCACATTGCCTATTGTGGACTGAATATATTAGTAAATATATATAGTGTGTACAGGATATACTTGAGACTTGCTTTAGGATTTTGTTGGGAGATTCGTTTCCAGCTGTGCTGGCCTAACTCTGCCTTCGAGCAGAGAGGAACCCAGACGAGCTATGCTGAAGGGCAGAGTCTCGTCTGGGGTGGTAGACAGCTACCCATCCCGTGTATACAGGGTCTATGGTAAATTTTTGCCTGAGCCTACGCATTAAAAAACGGCTTTGTGCCACAACTTGCCTCGCGGGGAGGCAAGGTAAATATCCTTGATACGGGAATTACTAGCCTGCTAACCGAATCCCTGTCTTTCAGTAGTGTATTCTCTTTTACAATAAACCTCTCTTTCTTTCATCTACGCCTGTATTGCTGTTCCTTTCACTCGGGTACCACCTTTGCCTGTTTGTAACCCCTTTTTAAAGAACTCAAAGAAGGCGATCAGAAAAGAGGAGGTCAAAAGAAGGACATTCTAAAATAAAACATAGAAAAATGTAGCATCGACACCGATAGCTGTGAATCCAGTGCAAAGGCCAGGAATCTCTGGAGATCCTTTGTCAGAGACTGAACGACAGTCTTCGAATTTAAACGATCAGCCGAACACAAGAAGACATCGAAAAGAATGACTCATCAGGCACAACCTGTTCTCAATGTCGAAGGACCTTTCTAGCAAAGATTCATTTGCCATTTCAGTGTCCACAGGTCCAACTGAGGCAAACAGGAAACGAGTATCATGTTCGAACTTGAGGGGTAGCCATGTTTTATAGTAAAACTTTCTAGAAATCCGTTCTTTTTAATTTGTTTTTGTTGTTTTTTCCCCACGTCAGAGTTCTTAAAGAAGAACTGAAAAAGCAATAAGATGTTTATTTTTTTTCACCATCACCAGAGTTTTTATTTCTGTCGATTTAGCAGGAAAGAAAAAAGCAGCGCCTTGGTGAGTATTAAATAACGTGTAATTTAATCTGAATGTAGTAGTCCATGGTTCATATATTCGGAGTTCTCTCTCTCGTAAACTAAGTGGAGACAACACGAAAATCGTTACAATATTGGTTGCTCACTTGGTGGCTGATTATCCAGCAGAGAGAGAATGAGAGAATGTGTTTGTCTACGATTCTCTTATTATTATTATTATTATTATTATTATTATTATTAACAGACAAAAGCATCAATATTTAGAAAAGAGCGCGGTTTAGAAAAAAGACAAAGAAAAAGAAAACACACAGTGTTTAATAATGTCTAACAATGTTTCGACAATATGTCTGTTTTCGTCAAGTTATGTTTAAGAATTGTATACAAATATAAAAACAGTTTAAAAAAAATGCAAGTTTTTCTACAAACATCGCTGTCTTAAGGAAAGCGGTTGTACTGGTAATCAATACGACAAAACGAATGAAACGCAGCGAGCGTGAATGGAATGCAACTGAAACGTGAGTAACATAATAGGGACCATACACATCTTGAAGTTTTCTGTTAGTTGATTAGTTATTTGATTAATTGCTCTTACTAATCGACTAACAGAAAATTTCAAGATGAGCACGATCCCCATTATGTTACTCACGTTTCAGTTGCATTCCATTCACGCTCGCTGCGTTTCATTCGTTTTGCTTCGGCATGAAACTCGGAGTCGTGCAATTAATTTAAGATATTATATATATTTTTTAATATATATATATATATATTAAATACCTCGGTTACTTAACATTGAACACTATTTTTTCTTACACTATAGAGTATTTATTGTATACGATCGCTCACTCGTATACCTACCTATATTTACCCATTAGGTTTATATATATATATATATATATATATATATATATATATATATATATATATATATATAGGTAACTATACTCGTTTCGAAAAACCCTCGAATTTTTGATTTGCCAATAATCAAATCAATCTCGAGGGAAAAAAGTTTTAAAAAAAGAAAGAGCTAGAAACATGAAAGTCTGTCAAAAAAAATCGCACAGAGGAAACAACTACACGAAAAAGACCTCAATACAACCGTAGAGCAGACCTAGATAAACCTAGTGAGCCAGACAAACGTACCCAGGTTTCACCTAAGCGGATCCCTGACGATCCGCTTAGGTGAAACCTGGGTAGGTTTGTCTGGTCTACTAGGTTTATCTATCTATCTATCATATATCTATCTATCTATCTATATATATATATATATATATATATATATATATGGTTGAATAATCTAGACATATGTCTATTTTTATTTTAATCCTCTCAAATTCATGGAAAAATTTCTTAGTGTTGTTATTAAACTGATTGAGAAAAACGCCATATTGCTCATATCTTTTATTATCTCAAGTACTTTCACTCCCATCCAAGATTATTTCTAAGGGTGAATTGCTAAGGCAAAAATTAATGTCATTAATAGTTTGTAATTTTTTTGCAAATGCGCATGAAACCTTCTCAGTTATAGTTAATCTAAAAGTTAACTGTTCACAGTATGTAAGATATGTAACTTAATTTATATTTTTTTTATTATTATTAATATTTTAAAATATTCAACCTGCAATTAAAAAAAAAAAAAAAATTACAATTTGAATAAACCCCACGAAAACAAATTGACCATAACTACGTTTTATCCGAATCAGTTTAACAACACTTTAAGACATTGATCCGTGAATTAGAGCGGATTAAAGTAAAAATAGACATAATATGTCTAGATTATACAACCCAAAATGCTTACATGAAGATATGCTGCCTAAATACACGCACACATATAGAAAGATCAATTACGACTGAGTAGTGAGTTCGATCCTCACTGGGTGCCCCATACTTTCGGCCTCGTGCCACATCTAAGCCGGACTTAGAAAATCGCTATATGTGTGTGTGTGTGTGTGTGTGTGTGTGTGTGTGTGAGTGCGATTTCTAAGTAATCAATCGTTTTTTATCCGACATTTTTTCCTACTGCTCCATATGTTATTTTTAGTGGATGCACATGTTTGGGTAGACGTCCTGTTTTTTTTTTGTTTTTTTTTTTCCAAAAAGTGTGACTAACGATCTAACGATCTGCGCATCCAAGAGACTTAATAAACGAGATGTGCCAGAAGGTTGGTTTCGAAATTGCGTTTCACCCACAAAAGAGGACGCAAGTTCTAAGCCGGCTTGAGAACACATCTAAATTTGAGCGAAAGAGAGCGAGCAAGAAAGAAAGAGAGAGAGAGAGAGAGAGAAAGAGAAAGAGAGAGAGAGACAAATAGACAGACAGATTTCCTTCCCTTGAGCTGATACCTTGTCGTGGTGGGACAGCTTGCGTATCTCAATGACCCGGAGAGCTATGTCGGTGGGAGAAAGCATTTTCTCCTGGTGGGGTCACCCGAGCCGAACAGGTCGAAGGGTAGAGATCAGACGAAAATCAGTTCATCGACTCATACTTTTTTTTTTGTGGCAGGGTTAGCGTTAGAAATAAAGATACAAAGAGGGGAACTGAGTTAAACAAATATATTAACAGAAATCAGTAATACAAACGAGAGTGTAACAGCAAGAATGTTCGGTCCAACTGTCAGAGCTGACTGCTGAAAACGTCCCTCTCCAAAAGGCAGTACCTGCTCCTATTTATAGCTGGGAGAGTCCATGCGTGCGTGAGTAAATTACCATAACAGAAATATAGACAGATCCTGAAGAAAGCCGGAGCGTACAACGGCCGAAACGTCGTGAATATGACAACAAAGATGAGGCCAACAGTCCGAACAAAGAAAATGGTGTAAACAATTACAATACCTCATCTCAGAAATTGTTACGACCTTGTTAGGGCCAGAAATAAAGGCACAAAGAGAGGAATTGAGTTAAACAAATATATTAACAGAAAACAGTAATACAAACATATACAAACGAGAGTGTTACGCCAATAATGTTCAGTCCGACTGTCAGAGCTGACTGCTGGAAACTTCCCTCTAAAAGGCAGTACCTGCTCCTATTTATAGCTGGGAGAGTCCATGTATGCATGGGCAAATTACCATAACAATTTTTTTTTCTTATTTAAAACAAAATGAAACCTGTATTCATGTAAATTATTTTATTTTCAATAGAGTAAGTTTTATATTAAATCGTGATAGTCAAGCAGTGAACACTTTTTAAAAAATCCTTTCACTCCAAAGCAATACGATAATGCCGTTTGGACCCAAGGGGTTACTGGCACGAAACGAAAATAAGAAGGTTTTAGAAAGGAGCAAAGGCAGTAAAAGAACGGGATTCACGAAGACAGAAGATGACGATTGACGTTGTATTTACATCTTTGAAGATTGTAGGAGGCAAGGAAACTAGAAATCCGGAGTGAGTTCGAAACGTGAGACGTAAAAGAAAAAAAAGAAACTATTCAAACAGAACTTACGGTTTCATCTAGCTATTTCATCAGTAAAATAACGAGACCTAATAGCCAATCCAGTAGATTCATACGATCGAGGTAGCAAGAAGAAAATCCCATTAGAACAACTACCTTGAAAATATTTACAGAAAAGACGGAGGCAATCCACGTCACGACGATGGGAAATTGGCTGGAGTCGAAATGACATTTCAGGACCGATAACATTGCAGCAAAATTATCATCATCTTAAGAAGCGGGTGTTTATAATTAAAATAATCTCATAATTATGAAGACATCTAGAATAGTCAGTAAATTCGTTTTAATCATTTGTCTTTATGCCATAAGTTAAAGTCTGTCATCGTCTTTGTTGTCGCGACATTTTCCGTACAATATTTTTGGAATTCAGAACGCGCGCACACAAAATTAAACAAAGAAAGAAACAAAGGAAAGGGAAATAAAGGAGTATAAAGAAAAGAGAAAGAAAGAACAAGGCAAACGGTAGAAAAAGAAAAGAAAGGGAAAAAAATTAAGCTAGTAAAGAAAGAAAAAAAGAGTAGGCAAAAAGAAGAGGGAAAACGAAGAAAAGGAAAAACGAAAAGTAAGAAGAAATGAATAAAAGAAAAAGATAGGAGAAAGAAAGAAAGAAAAAGAAAACAACAGGAAAACAATGAAAAGATCGGAAAGAAAGAAAAAGGTAAGCAAAAAAGAAAAAAGAAAGAAAACATTAAAAAAAAAGAAAAAAGAAAGGTAAAAGATAGGAAGAAGAAGAGGGGGGAAATAGAAAAGAAGAAGGAAAAATAGAAAGGAAAGTGATAGAGGATAAAAGAATAGAAAGAGAAAAAGAAAACGATAATAGGTGTGGAAAGAACGGAAAGATGATGATGGGGGGATGAAAAGGAAAAAAAAAAGATACAAAAAATGGGGAAGTAACTTAGACTTTAATCGACATATTTGAACATATAATATCTGAACATATTTTCACCTAAGATGGGAAAAATGAACAACCAGAAAAAAAAAGCCCTTCAAAAACACATTCGAGAATTAAAAAAAAAAAGGTAATATATCGTATATAATCGACTATAGTGGGAGTTATTATCATCAATTTTACGCAAAAATTAAGAGGTCGCCTTATACACAGGTATCTTTTGTAGAGTTTAAAAACCATCGGTGACCAGTTGCACGGTACACAGGTTTTTTTTTTTTCTGGAGCGGTTAAAATATATGTAAAATATTCAGGAGTCGCCCTATATATGAAGTTTACTTATAAAAGAATATATACGGTATTTAAAAAAAAAAAAATTAGGTAAAATAATAAGAAAAGAAAATTATTAAATATTTAAATAAGTTGAAAACTTGGCGATCATGGACCCACGTGCCCGAAAAAAAAAAAAAAAAAATAACGAATTGTACAAAGTACGTTTTTTTTCCTTGACACCATTATTGTTTTAACTGCCTTCACTCCTCGGCAATATTTACTGTTTTAAAAAGCGATGATTAGAATATTAATAAAACTTAAACATATGAAAGGGAATTTATACATTTATTTTTGTTCTTGAGAATTGACAAAGAATAATAAACACTATTTATTTATTAGACTGCTCATTGGAATTGTTAGCAAAACATCGGCTTATTACCAATCGATTCGAACTTTATAAAAAGGTAAACAATAAAGATTTCCTTATAGTTGGTTCACACATTTTAATAATATAATACATGTTTATAAATCTAAGAATAAAATCTTGTTTTCATATATGTTTCTTTATGAATTTGTAAATGATAAATATTAGATTAGGTTTAATTGTATTCATTTTTAGAATGTTGTAAATATAAAATTATTCTTGTGTAATAAACAATCTAATAAATATTTTTCTTGTAAATTCTCAAGAATAAATAAATTCACTTTCATCAGATATTTAGGCTTTCTTACAATTCTAATAGTCGCTTATTAAAACGATAAATATTGCCGAGGAGTGAAGGTAGTTAAAATAATAGCGGCGTCAAGGGAAAAACCGTTCTTTGGACAATTCACTTTTATTTTTTTTTGTTTATTTTTTTTGTTTTTTTTTTTTGTTTTTTGCGAGTAGGAACGTCTAACATTTCCGACGTGTTTCGTTGAATAATTATTTCCATTAAAGGAAAATTGACTTTTACCACTTTTGCTGTTTTATAGATGTATATATATATATATATATATATATATATATATATATATATATATGTATATTCCATAATTTATTCCTTTTTATTTTTCTTTAGGTGAACAGACACAGTTACCTGTTGGCTTGAGCGAGGAAGATAACGCTCTACGAGGCAAGGTCAAAGATCTCCAGATGAAAATGGAGGAGAAAAGAATGCGACGTCAAGCCAGAAGGGAAGCCAAGGCACCATACCAGTGTCCGGGACCTCGTCTACACACTACCCCCGATTCCACAACGACGATCACAACCTTTGCGTCAAACGCCAACACTGATCATATTAGTAACCTGGGTACATGTAGTATGGACAGCGAGTTGTCTGTATTTGGACCGCAACACCCCGAATGCACTCTCACAGAAATGGAAATCGGTAGCGACTCAGTACCAGACGGAGACGGCAAGAACAGGGAGATTGAGATGACGGCAATGCCGACTCCAGCCACGACGACAGCGACAAATTCTTCAACCGCTGCGTCGACTAAGGCGACCGAACCTTCGGCTTATGCGAACACGGGTCTGGAACAAGAGTCTGTTTTGGTCTGAGCTTGGCGCATTCAAGCGAAAGCTCAAGATGGAGACAGACAAAAGATTAAAAAAAATAAATAGATAAACAAATTGAATATTGAAACATAAAAAAGAACACATTGAAATCTCGGAAATTTGTTGGTGAGTTTGCACACCTTGAGGCCAAGTGGTTCAACTTACCAGTTGAGAGGGTCAGCCACCTCCCATTGTCCGCAGTTTTGGGAATCAGGCTGCCTTACCGGCTTATAATTTTGGGGCCGGCAGCTCAGATTGTCATGCAGGCCGAAATGTTTTGTATATTTCCGGCGTTTTACTTATATCCCCGGAAAGCAATGAAAATAATATTTAAAAAAAAAATGGCTTGTTAAGGGCGCGACAATGATAAAAAAGACCAATGTGAATTTTGGTGTGTTGGGAAGGTCGTATTGGTAACAAATTAATCCAAATTTATTATATTAACACTAAAACAAAAACAAACAAAAAAAAATTGAGACAAAATAATAAAAAGAAAAAAATAAACGATCGAAAAGGGTAGTCAATATAAATTTAAAAAAAAATAGTCACATATAAGGCGTATAGATATATTTAAATATGTCTATATTACATATTATCTATATAATCAACGACATAGAGGAAAAATATGAATATTAAAGTTGGATATGTGAATAATATATGTATTTAAACATATATCTCTTCCCATATATATATATATATATATATATATATATATATATATATATATATATATATATATATATATATGAAAGGGACAAAGTCCGACAATAATTATGTTTAAGATATATTACCAAATATATATAATTCTTTTTTACAGCATGTAGTTCAATATACATAAATATATAACACGTGATATATATTTTAAAACGTGTTTTGAAATATATATTTAAATATAAATAGAATGTTAAGTACATCTATTTTACATGTTAATAGAGAGTTGGAATATACAAAATGTTATGCGTGTCAGGATTATATATATATATATATATATATATATATATATATATATATGCGTGAGTGGGTGTATACAATGGTGTCGATGGATGGGCGAATTAAGATGAATGTGTTTTGTTATCTGAAACTGGAAAAGAAGAAGCAAATCTGGTAAAACTGAAAAGAAAACGATGAAAAATACAATCCAATTAATTTCTCGGGTGAACAAATTTATTTTTAAAAGTCAGTGAAGAAAACTTTGAAAGAAAAAAAGAAAGAAAGAAAGAAAAAAGAAATAATAATTCGCCAAGTAAGTATTTTATATGTAACTTTCTCAATATTAGAGTTACCTCCCTTGTACTGGCTACAACCGTTGGCAGTGTTTTTGTTATGACGGTGTTGGACTTTTCATTGATGTCAGCTGAATTTAGGATACGAAAAGGCCGATTCCATCAAAGATCAGAATGGGAAACAATAACTGCAGATATATATATATATATATATATATATATATATATATATATATATATATATATTTCAAAGGCACATCTGTGTAAAGATCATTGTCGTAAGGATTTAAGAAAATGTACCTCTTATAGATATAAGATTATATATATATATATATAGGAAAGAACCATTAGGTTAATAATCCAAAGGTCTTTAGTATTTTTTTTTTTTTTAAAACAGTGCTCAATACAAAAGTAGAGCTTAAATTATAATTATTTTTTAAATATGATTCCTTCGCTACATAAGAGTTTTCATGAAAACAGCTCTAATTCTTCCTCGAGCTTAATTCCCTGGTGCCCCCACTACATAAATTTAAGCGTGCTACTAGACTGGCATCTACGCCCCACCCTTTTACCATTTTGATATAGATGAAGATAAAATAGAACTGATTATTTTAGCTTCTATTTTTGAAACATGAGAACTCTTATGTAGCGATGGAATCATATTTTTAAAAAATAATATATATATATATATATATATATATATATATATATATATATATATATATGAAAAAATTAGCAGTAAGGATTTAAAAAAATTACCGTCATTTTTACGGCATGTTTAAACTCCTATACATACAACGTTATACACGATGTAACAGTGATAAACATTTTTTTTTATCAAGTAATAAATACATCTCTCATTATTAATACATAGTAATATAAACGGAAATATATTTAAAGACAGGCATGTGGAAATCTTTTAATTATAGTAAAGACGTAGCAAAATATGCCCGCCTTTTTGACAGCATTGGTGGACTAATATTAATAAAATAATTCGACTGGACTTAATGTGGGTGATCAGTTTTTATTTGTTAGTAAGTAATAAACATATCCTGCACCTGAATTTCTACATATTAAAATAACTGGAGAATATATTGAAAGCGACTCATGAGAAAGCCTTTTGTTAATTGCAGACATATGTCGTCATTTATGTTGATATAGCTAAATTAGTATTATTAAAGGAAATTCTATTGGGACATAAAGTGGGTGTTGGGTTTCTAATCTTACTAAGTAATAAACCGATCCCCTCCACCCACGAATTAATAATTATTAATATAGCTGGAGAAATATAATTACCTACTCATATGTGAAAACCTTCTGACGGTGACTTCATTAGGCCATCGAATTTGACGACATCGATGAGAGTAAATAAAGAACAATTCCTGATTTTGGTAATCTTGAAAACGCACACACACACACACACACACACACACACACACACACACACAGACAAAAAAGAAAAAGAAAATAAAGAGAAAAAGTAAAGAAAAAAAGAAAGAAAATACTACATTAAAAAAAAAATGAAATAAAGAAAACGGAATCAAGATTAATAGAATCCTCCTCGATCTTCTTACCTGTACAACGTTAAGCCGATTAAGTGACGGATTATCAGATGCGATATGTAATAGGGATTACGCGGTGAGGTTACCCAGTGAAAGCAAACAAAACAACGTTAACTCCCTTCTAGATAGTCTGGATTTATAAAAGTGTAAGTAATGAAAAGGAATGAAACCTGCTGTTATTCTAGTCGGATAAAAAGAAGATATTTCCCTGTCCGCCATTAACATAGTTGATGCTAGTCCCCAGGAAAGTGTCTCTCTGCGCTTTCTCGGCCTTAAGCTTTCGAATGACTTGAGGTCGAGCAGCTACATTGAATCAATAGCTGCATCTACTGCAAGGAAAGTTGGCTCACTGTGTCGTGCCAAAAGGTTTTTCTCGTTAGAGTCCATCTTAAATATATACAAATCTACCATTCGGCCGTACATTGAGCCCGAGCTGTTCACCTCGAAGTTTTCGACAAAATCCAAAGAAGGATATACAATGTAATCGATCCTGACTTGGCATCTCAACTTCAGTCACTTTCTTACAGATGTGCTGTGGCATCCCTCTGTCTTTTCTACAGATATTTCCATGGCTACTGTTCTGTCGAGCTTTCTTCCCTGGTGCTCCCACTACATAAATTTAAGTGTGCTACTAGACTGGCATCTAGATCCCACCCTATTACCGTTGAAATAGTTAAATGTAACCGACACTTCTACTCCAACACATTCTTTTCTCGCACTTCCCGACATTGGAATTCCCTTCCGCTTAATTGCTTCCCTGATAACTACAATCTTCAAAGTTTTAAATGCAACGTCAATCGCCATCTTTTGATGTCTTGAACCCCGTTCATTTTTTATCCTTTCCTCAATCCTCCATGTACACAGTTTTTCTCTCACATTCAATCTAAGTAACCCCCTAAGTAAACAATAGCACTCCAGCCTTGCTTAAATTACTTTTAACTGAATATGGAGATTTTCATATACTTGTATCTATCGTGATGAGAATTTTTTCTCAAATACGGTTAGCACGTTGTGACCGTGTTCATGTTTGATAGAGTTGAGTGATGGCTTTTTTGCATTATTAATTATTATATATATATATATATATATATATATATATATATATATATATATATATATTAATTTTTAGAAACTTATTGTTTAAGTTTCGGAATACGAAACTGATCAGATATGGGCTTTCTGAAAAAATATATCTAAATGAGGAAGTGTGCTTTCCATAAAAGCAAAAACAGTGTCTTATTGATCTGTGCAAAGCAAAAATAAGCTTAAATATATTAAGGTTAAGATAGTCTATATCAAAATGCCAATCTAGACTTGAACCTTCAGCCAAGCGTGAGCCGTGTTTGCTGACACCTGGAAGTGTAGAGAAAGCATTCATTGCAGTTATTTTTAAACCGGTATCATTTCAAGCAAGGCTGTACAGCCACTAACACGCAAGGAGTTATAGGGCGTGGAACAATTAAGAACAGAAACATTAGTAATGAGGAGAAAGAGAAAAGATCAATCAGGAGGTTTACAAAAAAAATAAAATAGCATAAAGCGTACTGAAGACATTGTAGAATAAAGTAGCAGAATAGGATGTAATAGGTATTTAAATGCCACCCCCTTACTTGTACGGAATGTGATATAACCTCGAGCTTAAAGTGTGTCGATAGCCCACGCGTACGGGGGCCAGATATATAAAAAAAAACAAACTGCTGAAACTGTCACGGCACTTGCACATATGGGGATGCCTCAAGCGCCAGGTGAAGTGTTGCTG